TGGGTTCCTGGGATTAGTATGGTGAACAGATATGGTCTCATGAACTTTGGGTGGGTAGAAGAGTGGAGAACAGATCTTAAAGAAGTTTACAAGTAAATAAAAGTTCAGCCAGGGCTAAGAGTTATAAAGAAAAGAAAAGCATGCTGTGCTGGGTGACTGGAAGTGGAGTGAGGATAACTGTTGATATGGTCGTCTCTGATGAGGTGCCATTGGAACCCAAGTTAGAATACTCTGAAGGACCAACCATATGAAGATCTGGGAACATGTTCCATGAAGAAACTTTATGGCCAGGCACAGTGGCTCATGCCTGTAATCCTGGAAGGCCAAGGCAGGAGGATCACTAGAGGTCAGGAGTTTGAGATCAGCCTTGGCAAAAGCAATAAAGCCAGAAAAACAACCTACAAAGTCAAGTCTGAAAAGCTAAGCTGAAACAAGACAGCTAACCTAGTCTGTTTCACCATTCCTGCATATCTTCCATGATTCTCTAACTAAGGTTTCCCCATAATTATCAAGATATTTATCTCAGCTGGCATGGTGACACATGCCTATAATCCTAGCACTCTGGGAGGCTAAGGTGGGTAGATTGCTTGAGCTCAGGAGTTCAAGACCAGCCTGAAAAAGAGTGAGACACTAGCTCTACCAAAAAAAAAAAAAAAAAAAATAGAAAAACTAAGCAGGCATAGTGGCACACACTAGTAGTCTCAGCGATTTGGGAGGCTGAGGTAAGAGGTTTGCTCAAGCCCAGGAGACTGAGGTTGCTATAAGTTATGATGCCATGGCACTCTGCCCAGGATGACAGAGTATGACTCTATTTCAAAAAAAAAAAAAAGGAAAAAAACTACTGAAATTATACTTTTGCATACTTTGACAAAATGTCTCATTTTGTTTGTTTCTGATATTTGGGCCCATTTAAATGTCCAATTTAATAATTTCGATGAAATTACCCTGGAGGAAGCCTGTAACAAGGAAATTGGTGAAATGATTAATTTAGAATAACAAGGAAATTGGTGAAAAGATTAATTTAGAAAGACAGTTAATAAGGAGTCTAGTAAAGCTGAAATGGTACTTATCTTCTATGTTCTCTTTTGTTGTACAGCTTTCTTCCTGGAGTACATAAAGCTGCCGGCAAAGAAGATGCATTACAGATGGTAAAATTTTTTCGAGATAAAAAATATCTCTCAAGAGTAGCAAGAAGTGGCAGAGGTGCTGTTATTCAAAATTTTACCAGAAACACATCCCATATTTTTAAAAATGAAAAAAAAGTAACAAAAGCTGCTCCTAAACAACCTGGCAAAGCAAGTGCCCAAACAGTTTAAGCTCAGGAAGCGTGGTTAAGACTGAACTGAACTAATCCACAGCTGGAACTCAAGCCACAGGTTATAGATTATCAGGTGACTTGACTTGACCCCCTATACTTATTGATAGTTTCAAAGATATATCTTGTCCATTTCTTTAATCATTCCTGGCAATTCCAGCATTTTAGGACTGACTTGATCAATGAATGTTATCATTAGAAGATGGAAAAATCAAAGAAATGTTTTGAAGTCTAATAGAGATATAATTTGGAGGTAAATTTTTATAGAGTGTATATAATTCTTTTGATGCTAATTCTTTTGATTGTCCAATCTATTTTCTGCAAACCAAGCCTTCTTTGTTAATTTAGATCTGTTTAATGATTGTCTGTTTAGCAATTATCTTTTTCAGTGTTTGGGGCTACTCCCAAATTTACACTAGAAATTGATGCTGTTTATGTCGTATTCTTGAAAATCTGATCTTCCGTTAACTAGTCCCCCTGAACACACCACTGTTTCTGTGGGGACTTAACGGGCTTCTGTTGGAAGGTTTCCTCCACCTCCTACAGTTGTTTGGTAAGATTAGTGAGAAGCAGAGGGTAATAATTTCCCCAGCTCCAAAGTCTCCTAAACTCATTGTGAAACTTATTAATTCCCCCAGAACATAAATTTTTGCCTTTGAGCTGGAAGCACTCTTTCCATTATGAAGCTTCCTGCCTGGCCATTTTGATGGACTTCTGGTCTTTCTTTCTCATTGTGGCCACTTATTTTCACTAATCCATCTATTCTTTAGACAAGGAGAGTAAAAACACAACCAGTCATGGGTGAAGCTCTAAGTTACTTTTACCCATCAGGTAGCTATTTAGTCAATAGTGAACAGCAGCATAGCAGAATTAGCAGAGCTCTACAAGAGCTTAACTGCATGCTGAGTTTACAAACAGTAAGAATAATCCATGTGGGACTGCAGTGATGCAAAGAGATCAGAGTAAGTCAAAGCAGGAAAGGTTGTGGAGGTGACTGGCCTCTGGTAGCATTCTCTGATACCATTCTCAGGTGGCTGTCTCCTCATCCCCCTCCAGGTCTTACTTTTATGATGGGGTTGGTATTTTCAATAACTCAACACCCAAAATAGCATTATCTAATTTAAACACCATGTTCAGACCTTACCTCCGTGTAAGAGCTGGCTCCACGGTTGATAACAAAGGCCCTGTCTTCAGGAAGGGAAAGAAGCCCTGCCTGGATGTGTGGGGCAGATGGTTACTGACACCAAAGACCGAAGGGTTTGTTCAGATTTTCTTTTCTGTATCTCTTTTCCTAAGACTTGGAAAGAAGAGCCATCTGCAATTTTTCTTAAAACCACTTCTGCCATCCTTACTCAGGCAACTCCTCAGAAATGTCTCCTAATGTCTTCAGAGGAGCAAGCAGTCCAAGGAGTTAAATTTCATATTCATACTCAGGTAATAGAAAAGAATAAAACACATCAAGTTTCTTCACCTATTCTAAGTGGGATTTAGGGGTTCAGGAAAAGTATGTTTCGAGTATAGGAAATTGATGAGCTATATTTAGTAGGTATTTTAATACAAGGGATTTTTTTCTAGTTTACTCTGGAGTAAGTGCAAACTCCTTTCTTCTGTTTATTGTTGGAAATACTTTTAAGATGTATTTGTCTGTTTTGTTTTGTTTTTTTTTTCTGCTTTGGTAAGTAAAGTATACCAAATGTTCCCTTAGTGATTGAGATTATTTTAGCATTTTGGGTCATCTTTGAAATCATTAATAGGTGTGAGCTCTGAAACATGCTGCAAATACAAGTTTCTTTTGAAAAACAGTCCCTAATGTTAGCATTTTCCATGTTTTACCTTTCTCCCATAAGTGGAAAGCAGTAAAAATTAAGTTGAACGTAAATTTAATGAAGGCTGATCTGATTTAAACGAAGAATCATACAAATAGTGATGTGTCATGATTTAAAAATGTAAATTAATTGACTATAAATGACCTGCCTCCCATTATCTCTACACTGAGCTATGAGTCAAACTTGAGGGGGAGGGGAAAGGTCAAAATGAGATATAATTTAACATGGTACCAGACTGTGACACTCAGTCATAATTCGACCACATAACTTTTTTAAAAGTGGAGATTTGGGGGGAGAGGAGGAATGAGTAGTAGGAAGATAAGGGAAGAAAAGAGTCGTATTTCTGTCATCCCACTCGATTTATTCCTCACTATTTTCCACATTTATCAGTTTTATGGCTTATCTAATGGCTCCAGGCCTGAAGCCCAATCTCAGCATAACAGTTTATGTTTCTAAAAAAAAAAAAAAAAAAAAAAATCCCCAACCCTGCAGATTATAAATGCAACTGAGTAGCTACAAACCCCATAAAGATGGTCTTAGCAGACTATAAGGGAAACAGAGGCGATATAACATGATAATGTCAATGCCAAATTTACAAATTCTAGTAATCCGCCCAGCTACCAGGCCTAGAGTACACTGCTCTTAATTTTGACCTTTCTGAGTAACTGGCATTGTCACGAATGACAGTTTTGTTTACCTGTCTAAAAACTATAGTCAGTCTCCATATCTGTTCCACACCATGACTTTAACCAAAGGTGAATCAAAAATATTTAGGGACAAAATGGATGGTTGCATCAGTACTAAACAGACTTGTTTTTCTTGTCATTATTCCCCAGACAACGCTCTGTAACTATTTACCTAGCATTCACTTGCTAAGTATTACACATAATCTCAAGATGATTTAAAGTGTGTGGGAGGAGGTGTGTTGCTTATATGCAAATATACCTTTTTATAGTAGAGATCTGCACATCCATACATTTCAGTATCCTTTAGCAGTCCTGGAACCAGTCCCTCAGGAGATACAAGCAATGATTGTTTGAATCATGAAGCCAGGTATATGTATTATAATCTGTTATGCACAATAACTGAATTATATAATTATAGAAAAAAATTTTTTAGAGTATTTTGAAACAAGTAGTGTTTTCCCTAGACTCAGATTATCTATTCAACTTTTTGGTTTTATACATGTAACAAATTTCCAATTATTTTGAATACCATAAACCTTCTGCAAGTGGATGAGAATTAAATGTAGAGAGAGAATTAGGTCTGTAACAAATGGTAATCTATAACTTTGAAGAGTTTTATCTTGGAAAGGTCAATTTTGGCCTTTTAAAAACATAAATTTTGCCCCTAGGGAACCACTGTTCCGATTTTGGTCCCCACAGTTTTCCCATTTTCATAACATCATATTAAAGGCATCATATATTGAGCATTTTTTAACAACTTTAGTTTTCTTTTTCATGCATTTAATAAATAGTTCACACTGAATAAAAGCAGGCTGTTGGGCCACATGTCAGAATTTGCACTAAAGCCTATAAAACGCAACGTTGATGGCCAAGATGTTCACACTTCTCTAGAGCTAATACACAGGATATTAATTCCACAGTGTAAAGTCATGACCAAGGTAGACTATAGAAAGACAAGAAAGCACAGCAGAAAGACCACAATACTTAAAGACTTAAGGAGTCTAGAGATTTGGGCCTAAGGCCTAATTCTGTCACTGATTCTTTGTGACACTAAGGTCTAAGTCCATTTCTTTGCCTCAGAACAAATATTGTTAGAGAGCTTATTCCTCTACTTAAATTTACTATTTAAAAACACCACCCAAAACAAAAAAATCTCTTCGGGTGCATGAATATAGTTTATTGACAGGTTTGAATAGCCTTTTTAATAGCAAAAATGTGTTTACAGTATAATAGCTTACAACCATCTTTTCAAAGTCTTTTTTAATACAAAATAAACTGACATGTTCTTCATATTTTACATTTCTTACCTCTATAACATATACAATGACAGTCCCAGATATTGTTGTCTGGCTAATTTCCTGCAGTGAGATACACAAGTAAACTGGCCAAGTATAACTTCCTTAACCACCGTGGGTGCTATTTAGTCATGAACCACTAACATAGAGACCTGATTCTGAAAATTACACAAATGAGTCTGTTCTCACTTCCATTCTCTAGAAATACCCTTTCTCTTGAGTTACAATATATTTATCTCTTTATTACAATTTATACAAATCAGTAGGTTTTTATTTCCACACCTTCACAATCCCATCTCTAGAAGCAGTTACAATGAAGCCCTGTGTTGTCTGGAATGTGGCAATGTCTGTGATGATGTCATGATGCCCCACGGGCAGAGACTCTGGGCCTCTTCGAGGGGTGTCATCGCTCGTCCCCACCTTCTGCTTATTCTGAATTTCCTGTTTGAGGATAAGAAGTCAAGGAGAAAGCCTAAATTAAGCAACCGTACCACATTCTACCTCTTATCAGTATTCTTGCTTCTGGGATTTGTTGGTACTATCTTTTGTCAAGTAGTTGTGCTTTCAAAAATACACTGAGCAAAAGAATTAGAGGGTCCAAAATGACATTCTATATACTTCCTTTTTGGATTCCATGAACAACCACTTACAAATGTTGAAGCTTATAATTAGGCCAATATTCTGTGCATATCCTTTTGTCAATATTAAATGAAAAAAGGAAAAGGGTAAATGGAATAAATGACACATCAGATGTTCTAGCACTTGTAAAGCTCATCAGAGTCTGTCAGGAAGGAAACACACTTTCACTGACTGATGGAGCATCTACTCTGGCCCAGGCATTTTCAGGATTATTATCTCATTTGACATTTGTGCCTGAGTCAAGAATACAAGCTTTACAGTCTCAGCTTTCTGCTTTCTAGCTGTGTGATCGTGAACAAGTTGCTTTACTTCAACTATGCCTTTTTAATTTGTAGTACTTCCTTTAAAAAGTTACTTTAAAGATTAAGAAACATATAAAGTGCATACTGTTCATCTGAGCTATCACAAATAAACACGATGTTTATTATGCCTTAATAAAAGTAAATCTTTAAAAAAAATACAGAAAAACTAAGAAAATATATTTCTTAAATTCAAAGAAATACTGCCATTCTTGATCAACACCACTCATTTTAATCCTGTGTCTATGAGAAAACCATTTTTGTGCTTATAAAAGTTGAAAGAAACAAAAATAAAGACTACTAAACCTGGACAACTTCAGTGCCTTCAATTATTTTCCTGTAGTAAGAGACAGATGGGGAACTAGTACTTCCTGCAACAACATAGGACCTTTCTGGGTAAGCCAAATCCCAAAACCTAGGAAGAGAAAAATAAATGGTGATAATCTCTATAGGACAATGGAAGGAAGTTAATCATCAATGCATTATTTATGTTGTATTTGCATGAGAGATTTTTCTACAACTAACAGCATAAGTTACAGCTATCCTTGTAAGATGATACACAGTGCTACCACTGTTAATAATAATGCCTTGCATAAACCAAAGTATCCATCTACATTTATGACCCCTAAGCATTACATGTTAAGAATTCTTTATTAGACACTATACCTTATTTTCATGTCTGATCCAGCTGTTAGCAGGATAGGATTTCCATCTGCAGGACTGCAGTAGATACCATGGACACTGTGAGGAGAAGGCTGAAAAGAAATGGTCACAAACGCCATCAGTGTATTCCCTAGAGGATGGTGCCAATGCTAGAGACAAGTTTAGAGACCAATTACATATGCCTTGTCTATTCCTTTCTCTGGGGCTTTAAAATACATTTGCTTTGTATCAATCTGACCAAAGGTATAGCCTGAAATTTTTATTCAAAACCACTCTGAGCAGTACCCCAACTAAAGGAGAAAAAAATCTTTTCTATCCTTTGCCACAAGAAGCAAGCACCCTTGGCAATATGACAATTAGAAATAAAAACGTATATAAGAGGGTTATATTCCCTTTTTTAATAATCTGAACTACAATCTGGGCTTTTCCTAATTAACCCAGCTCTGACTGGGCTCCCAAAGAGACATACAAGCCTTAGGAAGTTAGCACCTGAGACTCTTAATAAAGCAGAATGCTACTGAGCATAAGGGCCTGGAAAACACCCCTCAGCAATGGCCACATGCTACTTGATGTTATTAAAACCAACTTTAAACATAACCCAAAAGCCCAAACATTTTAATGTTTGATACAAGACCTAAAAGTTCTTAGAATATCGGAAATAATATTGTCCTTTACAGCAAAAACTGGAGTCAAACCTGTAACTCAGAAAGTGGTGGTGCGCTGCTGGCCCAGAGAGTAAACCTTCTGTCACCAGTCTCCATGTCCCACATGGACACTTCATTGTTGCCCTGAACAGCTAAGGGAGATAAAGGCAAGAACCATGATTCAGACAAGGAGGAAACAGCTCTCAGAGCTTTCACACCTTGGTAAATAATGCCAGTCAGCCCTACCCATTTCCATTTCTTCCTATCCCGCAAGAAATGCTGACAGTACTTTGAAAAACCAGTGTTACCCTGTCACTAGGTGGGATGCATTTATAAATAAAAAAGTTTTTAACAACCTAACAGTAAATAATTTCTGGTCTTCAACCATGTAGAAAGAATTGTACCACAGAGAAAGACAAATCATATATAGATCATGCCTCAAGAAACGTATAGTGTAGAAGTAGAGAGAAAAAGGAGTATGTAAAGTGTAAGACAATGATAGCAAAAGAAATGTGAGAAATGGGAAGCTCCGCCCAAACTCAAGGAAGGAAAAGATCACGGCCTGTAGGTAAGGATCGAGGTCACTGCATGAAGAAGATGATTTAGCTGAGACTGAAAAAGCAAGTAAAGCTGGACAGATACAGGTAGGCGGCCCACTTTAGGCAGAAAAAATAGAATAAATGAGCAAAAACAACAATCTCTGGGTGTTTGGGGGAAACACAAAGAGTTGGTCTGGCTGAAGCACATTTGTGACAGGGAGATAAGGAGAGGGGAACGACGGACAGAGGAAGATTACAAAAAAACCGCTGCAGTCCTGAGACAAAGACATAGCCCTTAGGTATTTTTAAGCAGGGAGACTGACTATATACCAGGCTTCATTCATATTTACTGAGCCATAAAATTTACTACAGCTAGTCACTGGGGAAAAGATGGCATACAAAGCAGAAAGACTCCCTATTTCATAGAACTACAATTCTAGTGGGAACAACAACAAACATTCAAAGGCCCTAGAACAGGAGTATGCTTAGTTCAAGGGGCAAGTCTGTGTGGCAGGAACAGACTGAGGATGGGAGACAGGAGGGGGAAGGGCCGCAATGCCAGGCACTTTCCATTGCTGCTCTAAGGCTAACCTAAATGAACCACACCAATAAGCTCTGTACCCTCTGGCTTTTAGATGGGTTCAGTCTGTGGTGGGCTAAATAATGACCCTCAGAGACATCCAGGTCCTACTCCCTGGAACACCTGAATGTTAGCTTACACAGCAAAGTGACTTTGCAGGTATAATTAAGTTAAGGACCTTGAGATGGAGGGATTATTCAGGATTATGCAGAGGGTCCTAAATGCAATCACAAGTCTACGTGCATGAGGAAGGAAGATCTGACAGTCACAGCAGAAGGCAACATAACAATGAAACAAGACGCTACCTGCCAGCTCTGAGGATGGAAGGAGCCGTGAGCCAAGGAATGCAGCTGTAGACGCAGGAAAGACAAGGACACGGATTCTCCCCGAGCGCCTCCAGAGGGAGCATGATCCATTGCCACGGTGATGGCCCAAAACCTATTTCAGGCTCTGGCCTCCAGAATTGTCAGAAGGTAACTTTGTGTTGTTCTAAGGCACCCCATTTGTGATAATTTCTTACAGTGGCCATAGGAAACAGCAGATGCCTATGAGGAGCTCCAACAGGAAGATCAAAGGGAGGGGAGAAAGTCCTATCAGTCACCTCAGGCTGGCTGCATCCCTCAGCTCACAGTCTCTGCTCCTCTCTTATTGAACTTGGCCTTCTCTCTTCAACTTCTTTCCCAATTCAGTAACTAGACTGGGTTAACAGCTACTCTGCTGTTACAAGTCCTGTATTCATAAATGGTTCTTTTAAAAATAAATCCTTCTTAAACTATCCTCCCTTAAGTGTGCTATCACTTCCTGTTAGAGATGCAGCAAGAGGGCAGATCCCATAAAATCTGTTGAACCACTATAAGGGGTTTGGTTATTACCTGAAATGAAAAGCCAGTAGAAAGTACTGAGCAGAAGAAAACACATCTTAGAGATACAGACAGAAGCAGGGACACTGCAATAAAATGGGCAAGAGTGTGTAGTGGTCTGGATCAGGGAGGCAGTAAAGAGAGATCCAGTTCTGGATATATTTTAAAATAGAATTTAGAGGATTAGCTAATGGACTGGAAATTCAATGAGAAAAAGAAGAGTCAACACCAGACCGTGAGGTGGGCCACAGTTTTAAAGTCAGAAAGAAAGAGAACCAGCAGAGTAAGAAGTAGGAGAATCAAGAGAAATGTCCTTAAAACCAGGGAAGGAAAGTATTTGGAAAAGACAGAAATGATCAACCGACCAAATGATAAGAAAGCTCAACAATGGCCATGGAGCTTGCCAACATGGAGACTCTGGCAGCCAGTAGTGTACAGGCTACACGTACAAGCAGGGACCACAGAGAGCCTAGAGGCAGGAGGACCAAGGAGGAAACACAGGAATAACGAACTATTATTTATCGACCATTAATTGGGTGCCATGTGCTTACATTTTTTTTCTTAAATCCTTACAACTCTGTATCTTTAATCATATTTTACAGATAAGGAAAATTAAATTCAAATACCTGCCCAAGTATCTCACATAAGAATCCATATAAGAAAATTTGAGTGCCTGATGAGGGTAGGGAGGGGAAGCTTATGAAAAACACAAAAGAAACAGATCAGTGAGAGATGACAACTAAGGATGAGTCAAGGTTTCTAACTCAGATTTCCAGGGAGACAGTGGCAGCTTTAACAAAACTAAGGAACACAGGAGAAAGAAAAAACAGAATAAAAGATGCTGGTGGACAATTAGGAATGAAGGATGATGGTGGTGACTAATGAGATCATTTTTGAACATAATAAATATGAGATGACAATGAGATGTTAGTAGTAGGAACTTTCATAGTAAGAACAGAATCAAGCATTTGGTTCATATCTAAAATTAAAACTCTAAAAACAATGAATGTGGGCAGCAGGGAAATATATATTTTCTAAGAAAATCCCCCAACACATGAAAACCAGCCCTCCATTTTACCTGCAATCACCCAGGACTGATACAGGGGGTGCATTGAGAGGCGCCTGATTCGAGCCCTGGAAGGATGACAGTGACTTGAAATTGGCAACTGGAACCGCATGTCCCAACAAGCCATGGTACCACTACTTGTACCTTAAAGGAAAAAAGCACCAAAAAATTACCATCTAACGAACAGAACATCTCAGGCTGCATTTAAACAAATGGTAAATAGTGTTAGCTTTGTATGAATTTAGTTTAAAACTGCCTTGCTCACACTTAGAAAAACACTTTGTGCTCATGAAGCTAGTTTCAAACAGCACCTTTAGAGATAGACCAAACAGAGATAGAAAAGGCTTATCAAAATGCTACTCTAACTAATGTAAATTAAAATGAATAATTCATTAATTACTAACACTGCTATTAATTGCCAAAGGCACTCCCCAAACAAAAGCATCTAAGAAGACATAAACTAAATTTAATAACTCAAAATGTTCAGACTGCCTTAAATAACCAGAGATGTTTTACTGGTATTCAGTGATCACTCCACCCTTCCCAGTGTAGCAGCAGCTTTGTAACAAATTTCTATAATTTCCATGTGCCCTTTTCTCCACAACATTCAGGAGATAGGAATGGCTTTTCTAGTCACAACAGAAACTGGTGTGAGTGTCTGTGCATCTGTCCCTGACAACCTAAACCCTACACAGAGAGAGAAAGAGACCCTCCTTATCCTGAAAGAAAAATGCCTATTCTAACCCTGAGCAGCTGGTCATGACAATGGCACAGAGCACATTCTGGTTTCCAACCAGTGAAGGGGGAGTTAAAAAGAGATAAAGGGCCAGCTGGGTCCCCTGCTTGTCACCCTGCTCCACTCCAGGTCAGTGACTCAATTAGCCATAGGCAGCATAGCATGGACTGTTCTCCTAAAAGGTGACCGAGGTTACCTGAGAGGGTTGCTGTCATTTGCTAATATTGAGTGTGCAATATCTACTCTTCTAAGCCTGATATCCTCTCTTCCTATACCAGTGCAGTGTATTCACACAGAAGGCAAAAAATATACATTCCATATAAACTATATAAAAAATAATACAGGAAAGGGCACATAACAATGTAACAAATATAAGTTAGGGAATCTAGAGAACCTGAATTCAAGCACAGAAGATTATAATTCCTTTGAATAAAAATGCCAACTGGAAAAGAGTAAGAAAGATGTGGTAGCTGCTCAAGGGACAGATTCAAAGCACTGTAAGGGGAAACAGATAAAATTTAAAGGCAAGGGCGGGGGGAAGCACAGATGGGAAAGGGGGAGATGTTGACCAAAGGGTACAAAGTTTTAGACAGGAGGAATAAGCTTCAGTGACACAGAATGGTGACAATAATAATTAATAACAAACTGCATATTTCAAAATTGCTAAAATGTTCCTTTCAGCTGGAGACATCAACTTCTAGTAATTCACCAAAATGATGAACACACAGGCAAAGAGCAGAGGCACCCAATACATGTTCTCTAGGCCTTTTAGAAAACATTGGGGTGTTCCTCTGGCCACATACATGCGAATCCACAAGAAAGATTCACGGGAATGGATATTGTTCAAAAAGGTATGCCACACAAATGTTTCCCTGGCAAAACCGGGAAAGTCCACAGTGTTACCCAGCATGCTGCTGGCATTGTTGTAAACAAACAAGTTAAGGGCAAGATTCTTGCCAAGAGGATTAATGTTCATTTTGAGCATATTAAGCACGCTAAGAGCTGAGACATCTTCTGGAAACGCATAAAGGAAAATGGTCAGGAAAAGAAGGAAGCCAAAGAGAAAGGTACTTGGGTTCAACAGAAATGAAGCTTGCTCCACCCAGAGAAGCACTTTGTGAAAACCAATGGAAAGGAGCCTGAGCTCCTAGAACCCACTCCCTACAAATTCATGGCATAGTAGGCACACCACGTAGCACACTTGAGAGCCAGTGAAGAGGGCCTTATGGTGCTGGAACCTATTCCATATGAATTCATGAAATAATAGGTAAAAAAATACAAGGCTACTATAAAAAAATTGCTAAAAAAGTAGATTTTAAATCTTTTTACTACAATTAAGTATGTGAGATGGTACATCTGTTAATTAGCTTAAAATCATTCCACAATCAAAACATACTAAGACATCACACTGTGCCCCTTTAAATATATACTATTGTTATCTGTTGATTAAAAATATAATTTTTTAAAAGATCATCAATCCTACTCTTGGTATATATACATATACATGTACTTGAGGTAAGTGGAAATATGTGTCCTTCTGAAGACCTATTTGCAAATGTTTACGGCACATTTACTCAGAAAAGCCAAAAACTAGAAACAAACCCATTACCATAACCTGAAAGATGGATGGATACACAAATAATCTATCCACAAAATGGAATATTAACAATAAATAAAAAGAAACTCCTCATACACACAACCACACCAAAGTCTCAAAAGCCTCATGCTTAGAGAAACAAGGCTACATACTATATGATTCCATCCATATGACATCCAGGACAAGACAAAAACTATGATTACAAAAATCACATGAGTGGCTAATTAGAGTTGGAAGGAGGACGCCAAATGCAAAGGGCATGAGAAAATTTTTTGAGGTGATGAAAATGTTCTCATTCTGATTGTGGTGGGGGTCATACTATAGTATATATTTTTCAGAACTCATCAGAACACTTTTAAAAATGTATCAAAAACAGCAAAGAAGCAAGCAAGATCACTTGGGACATCTTCAGTCTTTGGGGAAAAGGTGGCAGAGAGATAATAAAGTAGAAAGGAATTGCTCAGATTTCCTCCCAACACCCAGCAGTGTGACAGATGCTTTTATCTCATTCAATCTTTAAAGCAGCCCTTGAAGACAAGGATACTAAGACTTAGAGGAGTTAAGCAACTTGCCTGAAATTACTATAATGTAAAATTGCATCTGCCCAAATACAAATGCTATTTCTCTTAAATCAAGGCTGCTGCTTCCCCAACAGAATAAGAGAATACCAGCAAATCTTATCACTGTAATATAATATATGATATATAATAAAGAAGCCCATTTAAGAACAAGGACAAAGAGGAAACTGTTTTATTCACCTTGGGTACTGATTTCACTCTTTCTAACCTGTTCTTTAATGAGAAAAATTAAATTTCAAGTGATTATAGCATAATGACTCTTTTCTTAAAATACGGGAAAAAATTACAAATGAAAAAAAAGGAAAAACAGCTTTCCCAAGCTGACAGTCATTAGTGGCAATGTCTGATATTATCTAATCCTGATATTATTGAATAATTATCTTCAAAACTCACAGACTGACTTAAAAGCTGGCTTACCAATACAGAGCCAACACTGGTGGATGTCCACAGCAAAGGAAGTGATGAGGCCTGACTTTAAGTCATGCTTTAAAGTCCATGCATTGCTTGAAGACCTGAGGTCCCAGCCAACCAGAGACCCATTCACAGTGGCATAGGCAAGAACAGACTGTGCCCCTGAGTTGAAGTGATGCATATCCACGACACAGCCATCCTCCTTCTGATCCAGAATTCTAGAGAAATACACAAAGCAAAAGGCAAATATATTTACAGTCACTGAAAACACAGCACTTGGCTTCACTTAAGATGTATTTATCCATGGTCAAAAAATAAAAATTACATGACTCCATCAAGACAATGAATGGACAGCTGAGACTTTAAAAATAATAATAATTCTAGATTTACAGAAGAACTGTAAAAATAGTACAGTATTCCTATATACTCTTCACTCGCTTCCCCTCTATTTAACCACAGAACAATTATCAAAACTAATAAATTAACCTTGATATAATACTAGTAATACAACAAAGAACATTCTGATTTGATCAGTTTTCCCACTAGCAAACTTTCACTATTCCAGTATCCAACCAGGATACTACATGGCATTAAGTAGTAAAACAGATCTCACTTTGTCACAACTACACTCCATCTTTCCCTCTCTATCCTGGTTGATTTTTTCTTAATTTATATACAGTAAAATTCACTTGCTATGAATATAGTTCAATGGGTTATGACAAAAACCTATGTAATCTTCTGCTACAGAACCATACAAAACCATTCCATGCCCCCCCAAATTACCTTGCTCAGGCTGTCTATAGTCAGTCTTTACCCATACCCTCAGCCTGTGGCAACCACTGATCTGTTTTTCTCCCCTATAATTTTATGCTTTCCAGAATGTCATGAAATGGAAGCACATTATATATATTCTTTTGGTCTAACATCTTACATTAACAAAATGAATTTATGATTCATCCATGTTGTATGAGTCCATTCCTTTATATTGGAGGAATATAATTTATACTATTCCACCTTGTACGTATAGTTTCTGCTCAAGCTGAGACACTTATATTTTTATTTGTTTACTTACTTATTTACTTAGAGACATAGTCTCATGTTGTTGCCCTTGGTAGAGTACCTTGGAGTCATAGCTCACAGCAACCTCTCTTGGGCTCAAGTGATCTTCTTGCCTCAGCCTCCTGAGTAGCTGGGACTACAGGCACCCACTACAACACCCGGCATGGGCTCTTGATTTTGCTCAGGCTGGCCTCGAACTCCTAAACTCAAGCAATCCATGCACCTTGGCCTCCCAGAGTGCTGGGATTACAGGTGTGAGCCACTGCACTGAGACATTTTTAAACTAAAAAGGAAATCATAAAACAAACTGGCCCCCTTGATTGGTACCTATCATGCTTTCACACAACTGTCTTTTTTTTTTTTTTATCTCTTAGATCAGAGGGAAGCAACCATTTTCTATATAGACTCAGATAGTAAATATAAATATTTTAGGCTTTATGAGTCAACTATCTCTCCGCTACATAGTTGTTCTTTTTTTTAACAATCCTTTAAAAATGCAAATATCATTCTTTACTTCATGGACTATACCACAGGTGGTAGTTTGCTGAGTCCATAGACAAACAATTATATTTGTAAACACTGTAATGCTGACTATATTTCCCCATAGAGGGATGATAAAAAAATCTAAGTGCCAAATAAAATGTGAAATAATATTAAGAGCCATGACAAGAGCTGATATGACTGAATCAAACAGACAAAAAACTCACACAAGGTTTCTTTGGAGCAACACTACTGTCAGACAGTGAAATCTAAACATCCTAGCACGTTTCTCCCAATTTAGGTAGCTAACATTTTTTAAAGACAACAATATTTGCAGTGAAAAGCGCTGTTGGCTGAGAGATAACCATGTACTGAATGTGTATGTCTATCTGTGTGGCCTCTGACCTCAACCAGCACACAGCACACTTTCCTGATGGGTAATTTACATGAAACTCAATGGGTGTATTACTATATAGTTGCCCTCTGCTGAAACAGACTTTAGCCAAGTGTTCATTAGTAGGTAAAGGCCATTATATTATGTCCTGGATAAAAGCTGCTAAAATCTGTTAGGTGACTATGTTGAAAAATAAACACATTTTAAATGCAAAAGCAAGACAGAACAACAAAAATAAAAAAATTCTAGGTGACCCAACAAACATCCACTTCTGCCTTAAGCTACCCAATGGCCATGCCTTGCCCACTAAACTAAAAGTCTCCTCATTCTGCTTTCTTCTGTGGGCTCCACCTCTGCCTGGCCTGCATTCTCAACTGGCCTGCTTCAGCTGCTAACTCACATCTGGTCTCACGTGCTGCCTTCTCCCTTTCAAGAGGGCTGTTACTATTCATTTAACAAGGGGCATATTACCACACTGCACTGACGCAGGCTGTTCACTTGTCTATTTCTCCACTAGACTAGATGGTATCTAGACTATCTCCACTAGATATTATGGTATTCTTACCAAAATATGTCTTCTTTGTCCTTGAGATACTAGGTGTGTAACACATTCTGGTCAATCAGAAACTGTTCTGCTTTGTTTTTAATTACCTTACCTTGTATGTAATTAATGTGCAAGAACCACAATTTATAAAAAGTAAAACAAGTCTTAAATAAAACCAGTCACTATTTTGTTTTAAAATGATCAGCAAGTAATCTAAAAGCTCTTCTTTATGTTCCCAATGACTCATAGAGTTCAATGGCAAGTGACAAAATGCTGACAACGATTAAGTTTTCTTTAAGAAAGAACACTTGCATTCTCAAAGTCAGCAGCCAGACTACACTATGCTTTTAGCAGTTGAGACAGAAGATATAACTGATAAATAATCAGGTTATTCAGACAAATTCCAGACTAGGATGAATCAAGTTCAAAGCTGCCCTTCTGACCTTTTTTAATGCTGACAGACAATAAGATATATAGACATCACATTCTGAGACTAACCAATGTAAGTTTTGAATTAGATGCAGCTTTATTGGGCTTAGAAGTACAATGTAAAAGGCCTACAGTTAATCCAAACTACACTGCAGGGTGGAGGAAGAGTCAAGTTACCATAGTGCACTAAACTAAATGCAAAGTCTAAAAAAGATAAAAGAAAGATACCTGCTTTGTAGAGGATGGATTTTAGGAGACTTGGGCAGCTTAGAACCCTCAATTCCAAGAAGCTGGACAGCACCATTATCAGATGCTATGGCTAAATAGTGGGAGCCTTGGCAGAATGTGAGAGTCTTGACTCGTCCTCCAATTCGGCTGTATGTGAGAATGGATCTAAACAAAAAAAAAATGAAATAAAATTTTATTTCTGAAGCATTCTTATTGCTAATGCTCAATATCCACAACTATCAGCAAACTACATTACTACTTCGAGGTTCATTTTATCTTCCTGATCTTATAACAAAAGCAAGAATCCCCCATAAAAGCACTCATACAGAATCACCTTTTCTTCTGATATTTTCAAGTGGCCATCTACACATCTTTTCTTTTCCTCATCCAATTCGTTTCAATTCTTCAAAGACCATAAATCCTTACTCCTACACACTTGAGTTATTCTATAATTCACAACACATAGCCTAGCAGAGCAGGAAAAGCACAAGGTTTGTAATTCGAGAGCTCTACAACCTACTACCTTTATGGTCTTGGTCAAGCTATTAACCTCAGTTTACTAATCTACAAAACAAGGATTGCCCTTACCTAACTAGGCCACCAGTAAAAATCAAATAATATATAAATCATCATGAATTAACATTCATAAATGCAATATTTTATAATATACAGTTTCTCCCACATATGCTGATCTGTTGAACTTTTCTATTCTCCTTTAAATTCACTGCCAAACTTTTTTTTTACTGTTTTAGGTTTGTTGATGGTACAAAAAATTAGGTTATACTGTTTGTATCTGTTAAAGTCTTATAGTTGTGTTCTGCCCCCAAGAGGTATGCCATACACTGTAACCACCCCCATCCCCCTCCCTTTTCCCCTCTCCCGGCTCCCTCATTCTCTATCCCACCCCCACCTAGAATTGATTTGAATATTTCACTTATATAAGTATGTATTAGATCATCTACTGGCGCCATATTAGAACTGAGTACATTGGATTCTTGCTTCTCCATTCTTGTGATGCTTTACTAAGAAGAATGTGTTCCAACTCCATCCAGGTAAACATAAAAGATGTAAAGTCTTCATGTTTTTTATGGCTGAATAGTATTCTACGGTATACATATACCACAATTTGTTGATCCATTCAATGGGTCAATGGCCGTTTGGGTTGCTTCCACAACTTGGCAATTATGAATTGAGTTGCAATAAACATGCTGGTGCAAATGTCTTTGTGATAAAATGATTTTTGTTCTTCTAGGTAGATACAGAAGTTGGAAGGTCAACTTTTAGTTCTTTGAGAATTCTCCATACTTCTTTCCATAAAGATTGTATTAGTTTGTGATCCCACCAACAGTGTAGAACTGTTTTCTCTCCACATCCACGCCAGTATCTGTACTTTTGGGACTTCAAGATGTTGGCTATCACCTAACTGGAGTTAGGTGTTATCTCAAAGCGGCTTTGATTTGCATTTCTCTGATGATTAAAGATGATAAGCATTTCTTCTTGTGTTTCTTGGCCATTGGTCTGTCATCTTCAGAGAAATTTCTGTTCAACTCTCTTGCCCACATAGAAATGGGTTTGTTTGCTCTTTTCTTACTGATTGAGTTCTTTGTAGATTCTGGTTATCACACCTTTCATAACATGCAAAAACCTTCTCCCATTCTGAAGGCTATTTGCTTTAGTTATTGTACTCTTAGCTGTGCAGAAGCTTTTTGGCTTGATCAAATCCCAGTTATTTATTTTTGGTGTTTCTGCAATTACCAGAAGGGGTTTTCCTCATAAAGTATTTTCCCAGGCCAATATCTTCAAGCATTTTTCCCTCACTCTCTTCTAGAATTTTTATTGTTTTGTGTCTTAAATCATTTCATATGGAACCAGAAAAAAAACCCAAGTAGCCAATACAATTCTTAGAAATAAAAACAAATCTGGAGGCATCACATTACCAGACTTCAGATTATACTACAAGTCTACAGTAACCAAAACAGCATGGTACTAGCACAAAAATCGAGATGCAGATGTATGGAACAGAATAGAGAATCTAGAGATAAACTCAGCCACCTATCATCATTTGATCTTTGGTAAGCCTAACAAAAACATGCATTAGGGAAAAGAATCCCATTTAGCAAATAGTGTTGGAGAACTAGTTAGCCATTTGTAAAAGACTGAAACTGGACTCTCACATCTCACCATTAACAAAAATTGCTTTTTGGTGGATAAAAGATATTCCTAAGTATTTTGGGTTTTTTGATGCTTAATTTCATCTTTGGACTATTTGTTGGTAACAACAGAAATGCAACTGATTTTTAGCTATTCTGTAATATTGCCGAACTTATTATTTGTTAAGTTTTTAATTTATTGCTCAATTAAGGCTGATTTTCTATACATTGGTTGCCAACTGAAATAGTTTTAATTCTTTCTTTCCATTTTGTAGGTCTTTGATTTCTTTTCCTTACCTGAATATCCTACCTAAAACCCCCAGTACCATGCTCAGCAGAAGTGGCAGCAGTAGACATTCTTGTTTTGCTCCTTATTTTAGGGAGAAGCCTTTTATTAATCTTTCACCACTAAGTACAAGGAAATTTGTGGGTTTTTCATAGATGGCTTTTATTAGTTCTTATCTAGAACTAATTTGTGCAGTTGTTTTATGTGGTCTTCACCCTTTATTAATATGATATATTCATTAACTGATTTTTATATATTGAACCAATCTTGCATTCCTGAGATAAAATGCACCTGGTCATAGAATATAAATCTTTTTATATGTTGGACTCAGTTTACTAATATTATGTTGAAGATTTTTACTAATTAATTTTAAATTAATAAAATTAATTTCTTATTAATCATGAGCATTGGTCTGTGGGCTTGTTGTGATGCGTTTATCTGGTTGTGGTATCACAGCAATATCTGCCTCATAGAATAAATTAAAAAGTGATCCCTCACCTATTTTTTGGAAGACTTTTTTTGAGACAGAGTCTCACTATGTCACCCTCAGTAGAGTGCTGTGGCTTCACAGCTCACAGCAACCTCAAACTCTTGGGCTTAAGCAATTCTCTTGCCTCAGCTCCCAAGTAGCTGGGACTACAGACCCCCAGCCACAATACCTGGTCATTTTTTGGCTGTAGTTGTCATAGCTGTTTGGCAGGCCTGGGCTAGGTTCAAACCCACCAGCTCTGGTGTATGTGGCTGGCACCCTAGCCACTGAGCTACAGGTGCTGAGCTTTGGAAGACTATTTGAAAGATCAGTGTTAGAACAGTTCCTTCGTATCTGGGATTTTACCTTCCGTGGTTTCAGTTACCCATGGTCAACTGAATATTAAACGGAAAATTCCAGAAATAAATAATTCTTAAGTTTCAAATTACATAGCATTTTGAATAATGTGATAAAATATCACACTATCCAGCTTCCTCCCACCTAGGACATGAATAATCCCTTTATCCAACATAGCCACCCCAAATAAGCTACCTGTCCATTAGTCACTTACTAGCTAACTCAGTTATTGGATTAATTGATCATAAGAAGGGTAAGTATGGTACAGTAAGATATTTTGAAAGAGAGTACATCACAACTTTTATTACAGTATTTTGTCATAATTGTTCTATTGTATTATCAGTTATTGTTAATCTCTTATTGTGCCTAATTTATAAGCTATACCTTATCATAAGTGTATGTGTGTATGTATATTCATATATATATGATAAGAAACTGTAGTATATCCCTATGTATAAGGTTCAGTACTATCTGAGGTTTCAGGTACCCACTGGGAGTCTTGGAATATGTTCTCCAAAGATAAAGGGAACTACTAGAATTCTTTAATATTTGGTAGAATTTGCCATCTCAGCCTGGTCTTTTCTTTGTGGGAAATTTTTTTATTACTAATTTCTTTATTGTTACAGTCTAATCAGATTTTCTATTTCTTCTTAAGTCATTTTTAATAGCTTGTGCCTTTCTAGGAATTTGTCCATGTTATCCAGATTATCTAATTTGTTGGCATACATGGTATTCCCTTCATAGTATTTTTTTTATTTCTGTCAAGCCAATAGTACTATAGCCACTTTCATTCCTGATTTTAGTAATTTGAGTCCTCTTTTTTTATTGTTCACTATAGTAAAGATTTGCCAATTTTACTATCTTTAAAAAAAATTCTACACTTGCTTTTTTTTTTTATTAATTCTCTATTTCATTTGTTTCCTCTTTAGTCTTTATTATTCCTCCCTTCTACTTGCTTTGGGTTAAGTTTGCTCTTCTTTTTTTAGTTTCTTAATATTAAGTTAAATGGCTGACTTGAGATCTTCCTTCTCTTCTAATATAGATGTCTATAGGTATATATTCCCCTTTGAACACTCCAGTAAATGCATTCCAGGTTTTAGTATAGTATGTTTTCATTTTCATTCATCCCAAAGTATCTTCTAAATTCCCTTTGAACTACTGGTCGTTATCCACACAGTATTAATTTCCCAACTTCCTTTGTTACTGATAACTAACTTCATTCCTTTGCTAAGAAAATATACTTTGAACACTTTTGATCTTTTTGTATTTATGAAGTTAATTTTATAGCCAAATACTAATTTGGAGTATAGTCCATGTACACTTAAGGAGGATTTATTCCACATTGATGAGTAGAATAATCTACTGATACCCGGTAGATATGGCTGTTTGTAGTATTGTTCAGGTCTTCTGTTTCCTTGATGACCTTATGCCTCATTGCTCTATCCATAATCAAAGTACAGTATTAAAGTCTCCTACTATTGTAAGCGAATTGTCTATACCTCTTCAATTCTGTCAGTTTTTGCTTAGTATATTTTAAAGGTCTGTTGTTAAGTACCTATGTTTGTAACTATTATGTTTTTCTGATGGACTGACCTTTTTATTATTATAAAATGTTCTTATTTTTCTCTAGGAGTAATTTTTGTCCTAAAATTTATTTTTTAACTGACATTACCTCATCCAGCTCTTTTTTAGGTACTATTTGCATGGTGTATCTTTTTTGATTCTTTTCCTTTTTGTCTTTGACTCTGAAGTGTCTCTTATACAGAGGATATGGTTAGATTACATTTTCTATTCCTTTTGCCAACTCTGCCTTTTGATTATATTTAATGTAATTACCAATAATGTCAGAATTTATGTCTGATATTTTGCTGTTACTTTCTGTCTTGTGCATTTTTTGCTCTTC